TGGACAGCCTATCCACAACTTATCAAAACGCCTGGAACTTTGGGCTGAGCACTTTAAAAGGCAATTTAATCGGTCGGAATTGTTAGATTTCTCGCAGACCAGTGATCGCCCCGCTCCCTCAGCTGTCTCTTTGGATCCACCCTCTCGCTCAGAAGTCGAACATGAGATCAAACTGTTGAAGTTAAATAAAGCCGCGGGACCTGATGACCTTCCTCTAGCCCTCTTCAAATTCGGGGGACCTGCTCTTGTGGATGATTTACACGAGTTACTAGTGAGACTGTGGGAGCAGGAAACTGTCCCAACCGATTGGAGCCGCTCCATCATATTCCCAATTTTCAAAGAAGGCTCACGATCGGAATGCGGCAGCCATAGAGGAATCAGTCTGATCTCCATCGCCTCCAAATTGCTTGCCTCTGTGATTCTTCACAGACTGACTGACACTCGTGAAACCCAGATTCGTGAAGAGCAAGCTGGATTTCGCCGAGGTCGTAGCTGCATTGACCACATCTTCACCTTGCGTCAGTTGTTGGAGCACCGTCACATATATTGGCGGCCCACCATTGTCGTTTTCCTCGATATCAAGGGTGCATTCGATTCGGTGGATAGACATGCACTTTGAGGACTGTCTACTCAGGAAAGGTGTACCTGAGAAATATGTGAATATTATCCGAGCATTATATTCGCGTAGCACTAGCAGAGTGAGGGCTTACGGCAAGTTGTCGTCGCCCTTTAATATCTCCAGCGGCGTGAGACAAGGATGTCCGCTGTCACCTTTCCTCTTCAACTTCGCTGTTGACGAAATCATGGAAATTGCCTTCACAGGACACGACTTAGAAAGTGTGGAGCTACTCCCAGGAGAACGATTTCTTGATTTAGAGTATGCTGATGATATTGCCCTGATCTGTGACAGCTCACAAACGTGCCAAGCGGCACTGGACAGATTAGCACTAGCTGTCAGCCACTTCGGGCTTTGCTTCGCACCCTCGAAGTGCAAAGCGTTTCTCCAAGATTGGTCTGGACCGCCTCCTACGCTGACCCTTGGTGGGGATCAGCTAGAAGTCGTTCAAAAATTCAACTACCTGGGAAGTTGTATCAGCGCCCGTGGGATTGAAGATGAAATCACGAATCGTATAGCAAAAGCTCGGGGCGCTTTCGCTAACCTTCGCCACTTATGGCGCCGGCGCGACATCACTCTTGCCCTGAAGGGTAGAGTGTACAATGCAGCAGTACGTTCGACCCTTTTGTACGGTTGTGAAACCTGGCTGCTTAAAACAGTGGACCTGATGAGGCTAGTTACGTTCGACCACCGGTACCTTCGTAATTTAGCTCAAATTTGGTGTGAACACCGCGTGAGCAACGAGCGTGTTCGACGCCTTGTTTATGGCACAGGAAAAGGAACTGAACCGCTCAGCACCGTTATTTCACGCATCAGGCTCCGATGGCTCGGCCACGTGTTACGCATGCCAGCCCACCGACTTCCGCGACGTGTGTTGTTTGCGCGCCGGGGATGTGGATGGAAGGAGAGGAGGGGTGGCCAAGCAATGACTTGGTCCAGAGGAATGAAGACCCTCACTTCTGAACTGGCCTCGGTTGGAGCGTCTCGGCTCCCTGGTTGGGGTCCGAAAGACGATGAACACGTTTGGTTGGACACACTTGCTGATATGGCTAGGAGCCGAGCTCAGTGGCGTTCGTGCTGTGAGTTGCTTTGTCCCACCCCATCCCTCTTAGCCTCCCCCTCCAACCACGATATCATTACTTAGCCTTATATGATTTTGCATAATATTTTTTTTAGATGCACAGCAGGCGGCTGGTAGCTTACCGGAACGATGCCCATCCGTTACCGGTAGCTCAGCCAGCTTTCACCAGTTGTTTTCTTTTTCTCTCTCATTTTTTTCTTTGTATTGCGGCACAGTAGCTGAGGTGTTCCCCACCTCTAGCTAATGTGTATGATGATGATGACACTTAAATGACCATGCAGCGGCCTTTCGATATTATAATCGCATTCATTCTGCAACCCTGACTAAGCTATGTAAAATCTCGTAGCAGCAATAGCATGCAACCCCTCCCATAAAGTTATCGGACCACTTTGGTATCCGGCGCTATGTCCTACCCTCGAATGCGCTAATTCTCTGCAAGTGTTGCTGAAGAAATCGCTCCAGATAGCGAATATCCTTCTTCCTCATGACTCTACTTTTGTCAAGAAGTATTACTAGCACCATTTATCTACATACCCTTAACTTGATCCCAAAGTTTACCAAAGGGTACTCTAACACCTGACATTCCTGTTCAACTGCATTTGCACTCGCTGTTGATGCACTGTTGCACAAACTATTCGCTATTTCATTATCAGCAAATCCTCGAAGTAATAGGTTAATTTATCTTCCATCTACATTTTGTGAGGCTCCTCCCCGCAGTTTCCAACTTCTATTCATGCATTTCTCTGCGGCTGGTTTACGTCTCCTCTACTGTCAACACGTTAGGGCCGTGAATCTCCTTTTTCTTTGCCCATCATTGTTTTCTTGCCTTCTCCCTATCTTTCGCCAAGTCTCATTGGTTTCGATCTCACCACATCCCAGCGTCCTTGTGTCTTGATGTCTAGTAACTGTGTATGATGTAAACCTTTCTACCTCATCCGCCGCTTTCGTTTCGTGCCCTTGACACGTTTGCATCAGTAAGAAATATTGCCTATCTATCGTTTACATAAAAAGAAGGGGCATTAGTAATACGCCAGTACACAGTACCGATGCTTCGCTACCGCGCAATCATCGGCAGTCGTACGTGGACTAAGGATACCTCGAGGCTTGCCCGGTCCTCCACGCTGGCTCAAATCCGCGAGCTTGTGATCCTTAAGGCCACGGGTCGGCAATCGTAATCATCGTCTACTTATTGTGCTCACAAACAGCACATTTGCTAATCCAGTCAATATGTATTGACCCGGGGATCGTATCTGTTCATTACCTCGTGCTTGCCGTGAGTTTAGAGACTTTTCTCTGCTTTCGCATTTACGCGTCTTACTCGATGATAAGTGGTATGTTTGATTACTTCTTGTCGGGGAGTGCCACCTATGCGTCGGCATTTCACATCGGCTCTTTAGGACCACATGACCAACGCCAGTCGGACGCTGCGAGGTCGCCTACACCTGCACTCGCTCCAACCGGATTTATAGGCAGCCATTTGAGCCACTCGGTCCCGGTTTTCGGCTGCCTATACTGCTACTAAACGAAATCTGTTCTGTTGCTGAGGCTTGAGATCGCATTTTGTTCACCTTCACATATCCACTACGCTCCGTGAAACGCACAGACGGAATCTTCCATCATTTTTGAACCTTTCGGTAATGTCATTCTTTGTCCCAATAAGCTAGCTTTAGTAATTACGTGCTCCTATGCACCATCGTAGAGCATTGTCGGCCGGGAGCTGAAAGTGTTGTGCGCTTCAGCTGTAATCCTAAGTGGTCGCTGACTCGAATCAACGTATGGGCGGGCGATATTCTTAGCCCTCGTGCGACCGGTGATAGTCTCATGGAAGTAAGGCGTCAACACGGTGTGTCGGCGTACAGCCGATGACTTCTTTCTCTTCCTTTCGATTTTTCATTTCCCGCATTATTTATTTATTCGCAGAACCGAAGGGTCGAGTCCATGGCACTCCATTAAAGTTAGCCTGTCTAAATAGTGAGCGCGCCGCACTATTTTATAATCGTAATCGTGTTTGGACTATGTTTTCCTTCTCATTTTCGAAGTATTTTACAAGATCGCACTAAAACGGTCCATCAAACGTTTCTGCAATCTCCTCCTGCCTCTGCCCTTTGCATGCTTGCGGAATCCAAATAGTATGCCTTTTTTTCTTTTTGTCCAACGCATCCATGGAAATCACTAAGGGTCGCTCGTTATCTCTCCACCGTACTCTCTTTAACGAACTTTTCAGTACTTTTTTACATTTATCTCCTTTGGTTTTCGCTGCTATTTCCCGATGCTCACGTTCTGTCGTATCGCAGTCTGTTCATTTAATCTTGGAGGAGCTGCCTAAATTTTTTGTGGTCTACATTTGATGTTATCACTGCCTTTCCAACCCTTATTAAGCAGTCGTCTTTTTATCCTAGGCAAACTTTAAAGGTTCCACTGAACTCTGAGCGGTCTGATCGATATCCCTTCCTGTGTCTTGCTTTCAAGCTTGAGGTACGTAAGTTATGAGCTATCCTAACAACTATCGGCCTCCTGTTTTTGTCTCTTTAACAACAAGACACAATTATTCATTATTTGCACATCGTTTCATTGCCACACACACGTAGTGTGCTCGTAGCTGTAATCGGACAAAGCATCCATTGCTGTTCGTATTTCTCACCCAGGTCTTATTGTGTGCTTATCCCGCCATAATGCATCAATCTTTATCCGATCGTAACTTTCGCCGCTGCTCGGCCCCATCTGAAGTACCACTCGGTTTAGGGAATATGGTGTAATGCGCAAGAGTATGCACGTATTTATCAATATTGAAAATTCCGGGACTCATGCTTCCATACATTTTAAATCAGAATGGCTTTCATCTGTCGTTTCATTTATTTCTTTGTCGCAAGTTATGAAGCCGTAGCGTTTGTCTCCACCATCATTAAGTCCCTAGCCCCATCATTTGGAGCTGTTTGTTAGCCCAGTTTAATAGAGCTCGCCTTCTTTGATACTGGTCTAGGAACCCTCGACAGTCTTGCTCTGAGGTGCTCATGACTTCTCTAGACGCCCGCATCCACGGGACTTGTGAAATCCTGCGATCTTTGATCTCGAGAGGTAGAGTTAACGTTTGTAAGTGGATATCGGATATCCGCGGATGCTTGTGACTAACCCACACGCAGAACCCTCTCTCTTCTTCATCTGTAACATTGATCTGGGCTCCACGCCGGTTCGACACCATTGTCAATCTTCTAGTCCTTCTTTCTATCATAACCATGTCTATTTATATTGCTTTTATGTGTTTTTCTCACTTTCTCAATATTCCCTCTAACCGTTTCAATCAGGCTAGCAAATTCGGGCAGCTCACCTACATTCGTGTCTACCAGGGGTGTCTTCACAGAGGCGACACTGTGATAAACACGCGAAACGGCCGTCGTATCCGCATCGCCCGACTGGGCCGTGTGCATGTCACCAGTTTTGAAGAGTTGGAGGTCATATACGCCGGTGATATAGCGGCCTTTTTCGGAGTTGATTGCCTCTCGGGTGATACTCTTGTAGATACGAAAATGGGCAAGTCGTTGTCAATGGCAAGTTCGAACGCGTTTTATGCGAACATTTATCCTCCAAATCCTTTTCACATCCACACTAGAATCAGCACTGCATGCACCTTTTGTGCTCCTATCTACAGTTGTCGTTAAATCATTATGCAGCATCGGTAGTCTGGGGTTTACCCAACTAGTGAGCCTTAGTCGAGTCCTCTATACTGGTCACAATCCCCACTGGCTAACTAACATCTGTTAGGAATTCTCTGTGCTCTCAAAGATACTTTTCTAACCTACAGTTTCTGACCAAGTAGAATGGCTATAACGGTCAGGAATTGACGTTCTCCAACCCCTTCACTTGTTGATTTATATGCAGCGGGTGTGCGACACGTCAGTACAAATAGAATAAATTATTTCAGGGGCAAAGCTCATTTACTTGCAAGTTATGACGATCTGCCACCATCTTCCCCAACTCAGTGACCTAAGTTGCTGGCTAGTTTGCGCATTCTGCTTGCGATCATGGATTCGGTTCCCTGTAGGCGACCGAGGAAATGCACACCACTGACAAGCCACAATGAGTCAAAACGGTCGTGTAGTGCTTTTTTGGATTGTTGCTTATACTATCTGGCTTGTGAGCTACTGATACTAATCGCTGAGTTTTCATTCAGCTTTCCTCATTCTAAGAAACCTGAAAACTAAAGTTACGGTTCATTCGCTACCTGTCACTGTCTAAGCTTAGACTGGTTCACTCGTTATCTTTCATCCGCAGCTCCAAGTTTCATTTTTCACATTGGAAACGGTACATTTACTTGCACAGACAACAACTACTGCAAATGCGATCTGACATGTACACTTGTGAATATATATCTGATAGATTAATTCCGATGATGAAACGATCTATGCGCTCAATGATTTTCTAAGAACCCTAGTTTTGTGAATGTGGTAACTCCCCTTCCCACCTGTACTGCCTTTGTTCCCGGTTCGAGTCTCATTCTTTTCCTGGGTTTGAATACATACTATGGCGGCATCCGTATCCGGATTTGCCTGTCACTGTGGCCTCCATGGGGACAATCACAGGACGCCTGCGCCTACAAAGGGGACCATGGGTGACTTGCGCTGCACCATCCACAGTTCCACCCACACACCCCATATCCGGTGTAAACCCGAAGGAATAAGACCGGATCGCATGTGGATGGGGGCCACGTTTCATCAACGGAGCCGGCCCACACTCCTTCAACAAGCAGAACAGAAGCATTCCGGCCTAATTGGGAAATCATGCACACCAGACATACACATGGCGATGGCTGGATCGTAGCCCGTTCCACACAGGATGGAACCACTCTTTGAGCCTAGCACCGTCACGAGGACGATGCACTCCGTCCCCTCCAGCGAGGACCAACTGTCTGCTGGAGGCAGTATGGATGTGGTAGTGGGTAATAGACAGGTAGACAGCTTGCCAACATTGACATCAAGCTCATCCACACCGGGGAGCTCACACAACATCTACTTCTGAAATGCAAGAATACTCATCACGCAGACAAACTTACCACATACGGTGCGTTATTGGCCTGGATTAGTAAATCGAATGGGAGCGTACGCATCATGCTACTATTCCGCGTGCCATAGTACCTTCTGCACCTGAGCAACCGCCGTTATGATCAGTCCACGGAATTCGCATCGATCCAATCTGCGTTGGATTTGCAACACCTGCAATCAACATGAGTTTGTCATTAACTCACCTTCTCCATGTTCTGGTAATGTTGTTTTCGGTTTGCTGGAGTGCCGTTTCCCTGCACTAAGTTAGCCGTACAAATTCGTTATGAGTATCCTCGTCGAATTCATTCGGTATACATATATACAATGATTGACGTCATCCTTATCCAATGGCAGTTCGAATACAACATATGCACAGGCGTTTATCCAAACTTAAGTGTGAGCTGTCACAAACTGGATAGAGACACATTAGACATCATGATCAATGGTACGACGACCGTGCATGGGTTTGGTATGGAGGTCAGGCTAACAACCACTTTCGCAGGCATAACAAAAGTTCCCGAATACGAACTGTTGATGTTTTCTTCAACATTTAGACGTGACAGCCTTAAATCGTGGGCATCCATATTTGAAGGAACCGGATATAGCAATAGTGAAGCAACTGCTAGGTAGAAGGATAACTAAATTACTGGTGCAGTGAAATAGTATGCACTTAGGTGTTGTCCTCTACATGTACAGTCTGATTTGAGTAGCTGATGTGGGATGATCACACAGCATGCGAATGCGATGCATTGTCCACTTCTGGCTCTCTGTCTCCGACTGGTTCGGTCATCTGCTGCCTGAGGTATGTGCACCTACTCAAAGAACGATTGATGCGCACCCTTTGGTATTGACAGGTGACATCAAATAAGTCCCGTTGCCCACTGTCAAACATGTGACTTTCCAAACAGTGTTCGCAATTTTTATGTAAATATCCAACTACTCGACGGTTTGTACCTACCGACGTGTACTCTACTGTGGCCATAAGCTATTTGCTAACAATCTTTATGATACGTCTCGGGCGCAGCCATTTGGTGCTCATAAAACGATTTCCGCCATGCGCCGATATCTTTCCGATGTAATATACTAACACAATAACGTACCATTCCCGTTAGGTTCAACCTTTTGCTTAGTCCATCCAAAAGATTGTCCGTGTGCAATGCAACTTCCGCTAGACGTCTCTGCGCGTCTGCTTTCCATTCGTTTACTACGTGTGTTTTCATAAGCCTCGGTAAATTCAGTATGGCTGAGGGACAACTGGAACTATAATTATGCTCACTCTCATCACTGGCCTGCGGAGTGGAACATGAAATGGCGACATCGTGATAATGCTAGTCGTTTGCTTATCGGGATTGTTCACTTTCCACAGAATTTCCAGAGAACTTTCTCTTCTGCGATGCACAGGTGTTCTAAGCTTCATGCAAGTTAGCATTGAGCAGCTGGTCAAGCCACGGTTGTGTAATCTACAAATCGATTTCAAAAGGCAGAATGTAGATAGTATAGTCTGGTGAGTAATACCATGGAGCTTACATAGAGATGTGAATCGCGACCAAATAATGATAATAAGAAGAGAAAGATACCGTAGCTCACCGTCTCGTTATGTCATCATTCTAGACTCCGCTTGAGAAGGTAGCAGGAATGGCATAGCATAGGTCATGATGAGTACAACATTGCAATGAGCAACACATGAACTCATCGCGAAATACAACCGAGTTCAATAAGCCTAATAAATTTACATTAGCTGTGGCTCATTCGTTCTAGGCGTGTGCAATGGTTTGAATACATTGTTAGCGGCATCCGACTTCGGAGTTGCCTGTCACTGTGACTAGCCAAAGGACGCCTGCGACTACAGAGGGACCACGGGTGGGTTGCGCTGCACCACCCACAGCTCCAACCACACACCCCATATCCAGTGTAAACCCGAAGGAATAAGACCGGGAGGCATGTGGATGGGAGCCACGTTTCATCAACGGAGCCGGCTCACACTCCTTCACAGACAAACACAAGCACGCTGTATTTGGGGAATCAAGTACACACAAGGCGGTGGCTGGACCGTAGTCCGCTCTACACTGAGTGCATGGAACCGCTTTTTGAGCCTGGCAAGGCTACAAGGACCGTGCACCCCATCCCCTCCAGCAACGACCAACTGTCTCCTGGAGTCAGTATGGACGAGGCAGTGGGTAATAGACAGGTAGGCACCTTGTCAACATGCACTTCAAGCGCAGCCACACCTGGGATGTCAAACAACAGCCAATCATTCGAAATGTCGATATCGAATAATGTAAACGTATATGAAGACATAAATATTCGCTAAATGAACATATAGAAGAAATTGGTTATAAGTGAATCCGTGATAAGTACAAAATGTCCGAAAGTCGTTTAAAAAGTACCACGCGATAAAATTACGCAAGTTTACCACAATTTGCGTGAGCGACGTGTGCAAGTAAGGAGAAGATTATCAAGTACGCAGAACAAACCAAATAACATGTAATGAATTTTGTCCACATTAAAAAGACCTAGTTTAAGTGTAAGTTGGTTTAGCCCAACTGCGGTGAAGAAGCATCATGAATGCAACATCAGCCTCAGCAAGGGC